CTCTAGACTAGAGCAAGTTTTCCAATAGAAACTTACTCTAGACTAGAGCAAGTTTTTGTATAGAAACTTACTCTAGACTAGAGCAAATTTTCCTATAGAAACTTACTCTAGACTAGAGCAAGTTTTCCTATAGAAACTTACTCTAGACTAGAGCAAGTTTTCCTATAGAAACTTACTCTAGACTAGAGCAAGTTTTTCTATAGAAACTTACTCTAGACTAGAGCAAGTTTTTCTATAGAAACTTACTCTAGACTAGAGCAAGTTTTTCTATAGAAACTTACTCTAGACTAGAGCAAGTTTTTCTATAGAAACTTACTCTAGACTAGAACAAATTTTCCTATAGAAACTTACTCTAGACTGGAGAAAGTTTTTCTATAGAAACTTACTCTAGACTAGAGCAAGTTTTCCATAGAAAATTGCTCTAGACTAGAACAAATTTTCCTATAGAAACTTACTCTAGACTAGAGCAAGTTTTCCTATAGAAACTAACTCTAGACTAGAGCAAGTTTTCCTATAGAAACTTACTCTAGACTAGAGCAAGTTTTCCTATAGAAACTTACTCTAGACTAGAGCAAGTTTTCCTATAGAAACTTACTCTAGACTAGAGCAAGTTTTCCTATAGAAACTTACTCTAGACTAGAGCAAGTTTTCCTATAGAAACTTACTCTAGACTAGAGCAAGTTTTCCTATAGAAACTTACTCTAGACTAGAGCAAGTTTTCCTATAGAAACTTACTCTAGACTAGAGCAAGTTTTCCTATAGAAACTTACTCTAGACTAGACTAGAGCAAGTTTTCCTATAGAAACTTACTCTAGACTAGAGCAAGTTTTCCTATAGAAACTTACTCTAGACTAGAGCAAGTTTTCCTATAGAAACTTACTCTAGACTAGAGCAAGTTTTCCTATAGAAACTTACTCTAGACTAGAGCAAGTTTTCCTATAGAAACTTACTCTAGACTAGAGCAAGTTTTCCTATAGAAACTTACTCTAGACTAGAGCAAGTTTTCCTATAGAAACTTACTCTAGACTAGAGCAAGTTTTCCTATAGAAACTTACTCTAGACTAGAGCAAGTTTTCCTATAGAAAATTGCTCTAGAAAATCGCTCTAGACTAAAGCAACTTTTCCAATAGAAAATTGCTATAGACTAGATCAAATTTTCCTATAGAAAATTGATCTAGATTAGATCAACTTTTCCTATAGAAAATTGCTCTAGACTAAAGCAACTTTTCCTATAGAAAATTGCTCTAGACTAAAGCAACTTTTCCTATAGAAAATTTATTTAAACTGGAGCTCTAGTCTAGAGCCAAAGTTATCTATAAAAACTTTCTATTGTGTAGAGCAAAGCTTTCTATTGTTTTCATTTCCTTTCGTAACTTTTCCCTGGATGTTAATGATCTTGTGAATTATAATTAAGGTTGTTCATGTATGCATTGTGTTAAATATTAAGGATGTTCGTGGAAAGTGAGTTTAAAGCTTAATGAATGTTTGAATGAATTTTGAATATGAATTTGAAAAGCTTTTAAAATCTTGAATATTAGTTTGTTACTGATTTTTAAATTTACTTTTTTTTACCATTTAAGGTTTTTAAAACTAGTTATTGTTTTTTTAATGTATTATTAAAATTCTTTAACCTTTTTTTATTAATAAATATGACAATTAAATCTAAAACATTTAATTATTTTTTTAATAAAGTCAAATAGTTTTAATTGTTTTAAGTCTAAAAAGGGAGGGATTTTATGGTAATTTTTTTCAAATTGGTAGTTTTTTTTAAAATGTGTTTAAGTGGTCTTTAGTTATTTGTTGTTTTATTAAAAAAGTGGGAAAAAGTGAAATATTTTATGAAAGTTTTAAGCACTTTTTTGTTAAAGCTTTTTTATGAAAAAATTTCTACTACAAAGAAATTTCTTGAAAACCTATTTTTCATTTGCAGTGTAAATTGGTGTTTTCTTAATGCTTTATTGTTTTAAATTATTTATTTAATTAAACTTTTTTTGTAAAACCTGCGGTTGATTGGCTTTAAGTGCTTAAATTGGTTTTCTTTTGCTGTTTTTTTAGGTGCTTTTCTTTAAAGTGCTTTTAAAATTTATTTTTAAATATTTTGTTTTCCTTTAATAGGTTTTGTTTTTTTTTAATATTAACTTTAGTTTAAAGTTCAAAAACTTAATTTATTTCTTTTAAAAACTATTAAAAATTGTTTTTAAATTTTTCTTTTTGAAATAATTTTTATTAATTTTTTATTTTTTTTTTTTGTTTCTTTCACAAATTGTCTATATTTCCACAAAATTATTTTTTGGGCTTCTTTTTAGCGCTAGAAGATTTTTTTGTATTGTTGATTTCTGTTCTAAAATAATTAAACAAATTTTTCTTTTTTTTTAACATTAATTAAGTATTTTGAGTCTTTTTTTTTTTTTTTTGCCAAATCCTAAACATAAATCAATAAAATAAAGTTTTAATTCAATAAACTAATAAAAACTAAAACAAATATTTGCTAAAAAAACAAAAAGTAAAAATAAATAAAACAATTTTATAACAAGTGCTTTTTAAATAAACTTTATTTAAACTAAAAGTACAAATCATACAAGTTTTTATAATGGTTTTTTATTTGTGTTGGTTTTGTTCAACTTAAAATTATATCACAAATTATTAATTAAAAAAAGTTGTCGTTTTTATGTTGTGTTTAAATCAATGAAGTTTTGTTTTAATGTGTAAAAAAAATATGTGTCCTTTTTCAATAATTGCTGATGGAATGTGGTTTTAAACTTCTAGACTAGAGCATCTTTTTCTACAAAAACTAGACTAGAGAGCAGCTTTTTCTATAAAAACTTGCTCTAGACTAGAGAGCAGCTTTTTATATAAAAACTTGCTCTAGACAAGAGCAACTTTTTCCATAAAAACTTGCTCTAGACTAGAGCAACTTTTTCTTTAAAAAACTTGCTCTAAACTAGAGCAACTTTTTCCATAAAAACTTGCTCTAGACTAGAGCAACTTTTTCTATAAAAACTCGCTCTAAACTAGAGCAACTTTTTCTATAAAAACTCGATCTAAACTAGAGCAACTTTTTCTATAAAAACTTGCTCTAGACTAGAGCAACTTTTTCTATAAAAACTTGCTCTAGACTAGAGCAACTTTTTCTATAAAAACTTGCTCTACACTAGAGCAACTTTTTCTACAAAAACTTGTTCTATAAAAACTTAGTCTAAACTACAGCATATTTTTCTATAAAAACTTGCTCTAAACTAGAGCCACTTTTTCTATAAAAACTTGTTCTAAACTAGAGCAACCTTTTCTATAAAAACTTGCTCTAGAATAGAGCAACTTCTTCTATAAAAACTTGCTCTAGACTAGAGAGCAGCTTTTTCTATAAGAACTTGATCTAGACAAGAGTAACTTTTTCTATAAAAACTTTCTCTAGACTAGAGCAACTTTTTCTATTAAAACCTGCTCTAGACTAGAACAACTTTTTCTATAACAAATTGCTGTAGACTAGAGCAACTTTTTCTATAAATACTTGATCTAAACTATAGCAACTTTTTCTTTAAAAACTTGCTCTAAACTAGAGCAACTTTTTCTATAAAAACTTGCTCTCGACTAGAGCAACTTGTTCTAGATTAGAGCAACTTTTCCTATTAAAAACTTGCTCTAGACTAGAGCAACTTTTTCTATAAAAAACTTGCTCTAGACTAGAGCAACTTTTTCTATAAAAAAATTGCTCTAGACTAGAGCAACTTTTTCTATAAAAAACTTGCTCTAGACTAGAGCAACTTTTTCTATAAAAAACTTGCTCTAGACTAGAGCAACTTTTTCTATAAAAACTTGCTCTAGACTAGAGCAACTTTTTCTATAAAAGACTTGCTCTTGACTAGAGCAACTTTTTCTATAAAAGACTTGCTCTAGACTAGAGCAACTTTTTCTATAAAAAACTTGCTCTAGACTAGAGCAACTTTTTCTATAAAAACTTGCTGTAGACTAAAGCAACTTTTTCTATAAAAACTTGCTGTAGACTAAAGCAACTTTTTCTATAAAAACTTGCTCTAGACTAGAACAACTTTTTCTAACTAGCTCTAGACAAGAGCAACTTTTCTATAAAAACTTGTTCTAGACTAGAGCAACTTTTTCTTTAAAAAACTTTTTTCTTAAAAACTTGCTCTAGACTAGAGCAACTTTTTCTATAAAAACTTGCTCTAGACTAGAGCAACTTTTTCTATAAAAACTTGCTCTAGACTAGAGCAACTTTTTCTATAAAAACTTGCTCTAGACTAGAGCAACTTTTTCTATAAAAACTTGCTCTAGACTAGAGAGCAGCTTTTTCTATAAAAACTTGATCTAGACTAGAGTAACCTTTTCTATAAAAACTTGCTTTAAACTAGAGCAAATTTCTATAAAACCTTGCTCTAGACTAGAGCAACTTTTTCTATAAAAACTTGCTCTAAACTAGAACAACTTTTTCTATAAAAACTTGCTCTAGATTAGAGCAACTTTTTCTATAAAAACTTGCTCTAGACAAGAGCAACTTTTTCGATAAAAAAGTTGCTCTAGACTAGAGCAACTTTTTTTATAAAAAACTTGCTCTAGACTAGAGCAACTTTTTCTATAAAAAACTTGCTCTGGATTAGAGCAAAAAAAAAAACTTGCTGAAAACTAGAGCAACTTTTTCTATGAAAACTTCCTCTAGTCTAGAGCAAGTTTTCCAATAAAAACCTGCTCTAGTCTAGAGCAAGTTTTCCTATAAAATCTTCCTCTAGTCTAGAGCAAGTTTTCCTATAAAAACTTCCTCTAGTCTAAAGCAAGTTTTCCTATAAAAACTTCCTCTGGTCTAAAGCAAGTTTTCCTATAAAAACTTCCTCTAGTCTAGAGCAAGTTTTCCTATAAAAACTTCCTCTAGTCTAGAGCAAGTTTTCCTATAAAAACTTCCTCTAGTCTAGAGCAAATTTTCCTATAAAAACCTTCTCTAGTCTAGAGCAAGTTTTCCTATTAAAACCTCCTCTAGTCTAGAGCAAGTTTTCCTATAAAAACTGCCTCTAGCCTCTAACCAAGTTTTCCTATAAAAACTGCCTCTAGTTTAGAGCAAGTTTTCCTATAAAAACTTCCTCAAGACTAGAGCAAGTTTTTCTATAAAAACTTTCTCTAGTCCAGAGCAAGTTTACGTATAAAAACTTCCTCTCATTTCTTATAAAAACATCCTCTAGTCTGGAGCAACATTTCCTATAAAAACTTCCTGTAATCTAGAGTAACATTTTCGACAAAAACTTCCTCTAGTCGAGAGCAAGTTTTACTTAAAAAAAACTTCCTCTACACTTTGCTCTAGTATGGAGCCAAAGTTTTCTATAAAAACTTGCTCTTCTACGGAACATTGTTTTCTATAAAAACTAGATCTAGTTTGGACCAACTTCTAGAAAAACTTTTCCTTTAAATATTTTTTAATTTTTTTTATTTTCCTTTCGTTGCAGGTTTTATGAAAAAGCCGAATCCCTTTAAAAGGTAAGTCCAGAAAACGTTGATTTTTATTATAAACCTTAAAATGATTTTTAGAAAACGAGATTTTATAAATCTCAAGAAGTAGATCTTAAAATGTCAAGTAACTGCTATTACAAAACTGCCTTTAAATTTAGGTTTTTTTATTACTTTCTTTATAATTAAAGCAAATAATTTAAATTAAACAAAAAATGGTCTACTTAAAAATTAAACTTAAAAACTGAAAAAAAGAGAAATATAAATAAAAAAATTAAATAAATTTAAGTATAATAAACAAAGAAACAAAAAGGCAAATTATTAAAAAAAAACATTGCTCTCTTTTTTTCACATTAACTTAATAAATAAATTACAAAGATGTTGCAAACCCAGAAAATTTTGTTTTAAAATAAGTTTGCCTTAAATTAGTTATTAGTACATTAAATTAAATTTAAACAAATAGAATTTATAAGAAAAAAAAATTTACATTTAAACAAACATAATTTATGCTCTCTCGGGTTTTTGCGTTTGTTTTTCATCTCTTTTACTATTTGGTCTTTTTATAAAAACAACAAATTATTATAAAAACAATAACTTAACAAATGAACTGAATAGATTTTTATTAAATAAATGCTCTCTGCTTGCTTGCTCACTCACTCATTTGCTTTCACGTATGTTCCTTTGCTTGCTCGCTCATTTTTTTCAAAATTTTCTTTTGTTTTGTAAAAAAAAAACTCCTCCTATTTTCTTATCAAGAACTCAAAATTGTTTAATTATGTTTAAATTTTATTTAAATACGTTTTATTACTTGTTTTTATTTGTATTATTTTAGTCTAAAGAAATTTAATTAGATTTTTTATTCAACAATCTTCCAGCGCTTTCGTTTTGTCATACGAAATCCAACTCGGAACGTGTTTTATACATTTTACGTTCCATTGTCCTTTCGAACCATTTCTTAATCTCGGCCACAATTAGCACTGACGAGGTAAGCGAGAGTAAAAATAATATATCATAGGCCGATAAGGCCTCAGTTTGAAATACCATTTGTAAAGGGGGGAAATAGATGACCAACATTTGGCCAATTATGGAAAAGCCCACAGCCAATAGGAACATTTTATTAGAAGTTAGGCCTATAGTGAAAACACTTTTAGTTTGTGAGCGGCAGGAGAGAGCATTAAACATATCGAAGAATACAAAACAGGTAAAGGTCATAGTTGTGTCACGCTTTGTCTTACCCAAAGAACCATCCACCATTTCTCTTTGGAATACCCACAAGGTGCCCAAGATAATAATGCTGGCACTTAGTAAAACATTAACTATCACCGATTTGGTAATCATGGGTTGTTTAACATTACGTGGTTTCTGCTTTAAGACATCATGATCTACGGGTTCCACACCTAAACTTTGGGCTGGTGGTCCATCCATTATAATATTGATCCATAGTATCTGCATGGCATTTAAAGGATTAGCTATGCCCATTAGGGTGGCCAAGGCTATAAGGGAAAGGGCAGCAATAGAAGTACTCAATTGAAATCTTACAAAGTTGCGTATATTATAGAATATAGCTTTGCCTTCCTCTATAGCAGCTCTAAAATCACAAAAAAGAGAACACATTATAAAAAATCCTTACTTTAAGTCCCTACCTCTACTTACATTATAGTGTGAAAATCATCATTGACCAATATCATGTCGGCCGCTTCTTTACACACATCAGTACCATTTTTACCCATGGCTATACCAATATCGGCTTTCTTCAAGGCCACTCCATCATTTACACCATCACCAGTCATGCCCACTATATTTCCAGTCCTTTGCAATGACTTTACAATTGCCAATTTATGTCTGGGTGATACACGATAGAATACACTCACATTATTGGCGACTTTGTCTAATTGATGTTCGTTCATTTGATCCATTTCTTGACCCGAGAGTGTTTGATGGTGTATGGTATCGATACCAATGAGACTGGCTAAAAAGAGAAAGAAGAAAAGAAATTTATTAGAACTGAAGTACAACTAGAACTGAACCAGAACTGAACTAGAATTGAAATAGAATGTGACTATAAAACTGGATTAGAGCAGAACTTGAACGGAACTAGAAAGGAAATAAACTAGAACGGAACTGAACAAGAACTAGCTAGAATTGTATTAGAATTGAACTAAAACTAAACTAGAACTGAACTAAAACTGAAATAGAACTTGAAATGAATTAGAACTGTACTAAAACTGCACTAGAACTGAACAATAAGAGAACTAGAACTGAACTGAAACTTAATTAGAAATGAACTAGAACTGAACTAAAACTGAATTAGAAACTGAAGTAGAACTGAACTAAAACTAACCTAGAATTGAACTAGAACTGAACTAGAACGGAACTAGAATTGAACTAGAACTGAACTAGAATTGAACTAGAACTGAACTAGAACTGAACTAGATTGGAACTAGAACTGAACTAGAACTTAACTAGAACTGAACTAGAACTGAACTAGAACTGAACTAGAACTGAACTAGAACTGAACTAGAACTGAACTAGAACTGAACTAGAACTGAACTGGAACTGAACTAGAACTGAACTAGAACTGAACTAGAACTGAACTAGAACTGAACTAGTACTGAACTAGAACTGAACTAGAACTGAACTAGAACTGAACTAGAACTGAACTAGAACTAAACTAGAACAGAAATAGAACTAGAACTGAACTAGAACAGAACTAGAACTGAATTAGAACTGAACTAGAACTGAACTAGAACTGAACTAGAACTGAACTAGAACTGAACTAGAACTGAACTAGAACTGAACTAGAACTGAATTAGAACTGAACTAGAACTGAACTAGAACTGAACTAGAACTGAACTAGAACTGAACTAGAACTGAACTAGAACTGAACTAGAACTAGAACTAGAACTGAACTAGAACTGAACTAAACTAGAACTGAACTAAAACTGAACAAGTACTGAACAAAATCTGAAATAGAACTGAACTAAAATTGAACTATAACTGAGCTAAAACTGAATTGATTTAGAATTGAATTATTATATTTTAGTAAAAATTTAAGGTCTTTAAATAGTTTTATTTATAAAACTCGGTCTTTTTGTTTCAGTTAGTTTTCCTTCCTTTTCCTTCTTTACTTTCAATTACACCTTTTTCCTATTCTTTATATATGTATACATCTAACATTATGATTTCTATTAGCATTGTTCTGACTGTGACATCCACAGTAATAGAAAAAAAACTGCAAGAAAAATGAAAAATATTTTATTACCATAATCGATTTCGTTCGTTAAGGTTACACGGTTTACGTGTACACCCACCTAGTAATGATGTCTCGAGGGACTGGATACAGGAAACTTAACCAAACATTATAAAGTAAACAAAGACATAACACAAAGATTACGTAGTCGGATAGATGAGCAAAAAAAAAAACCAAGAACTACAATGCAAAAAACTGTATTAATATGGTAAAACTACAAAGTATGTTGTTGCAAGGATGATTATTTAAAGGAGAAAAGCTACGAGTGGAGACAAAGCGAAAAAAATCAACAATTGACATCAGGAGTTTTAGTACGATATAGAAAAAAGAGGTTTGAAAACCCTGGGAGTTTAAAGTTTAATAACAACGACTTTAAGAGGCCTTATAAGGATAAAGATATAACTTACTAAACCAAAACTGAACTAGAACTTAACTAGAACTGAACTAAACTAGAAATGAACTAGAACTGAACTAGAACTAAACTAGAACTAAACTAGAACTGAACTAGAACTGAACTAGAACTGAACTAGAACTGAACTAGAACTAGAACTGAACTAGAACTGAACTAGAACTGAACTAGAACTGAACTAGAATGAACTAGACTGAACTAGAACTGAACTAGAACTGAACTAGAACTGAACTAGAACTGAACTAGAACTGAACTAGAACTGAACTAGAACTGAACTAGAACTGAACTAGAACTGAACTAGAACTGAATAGAACTGAACTAGAACTGAACTAGAACTGAACTAGAACTGAACTAGAACTGAACTAGAACTGAACTAGAACAAACTAGAACTGAACTAGAACTGAACTAGAATTGAACTAGAACTGAACTGAACCAGAACTGAACCAGAACTGAACCAGAACTGAACTAGAACTGAACTAGAACTGAACTAGAACTGAACTAGAACTGAACTAGAACTGAACTAGAACTGAACTAGAACGAACCAGAACTGAACTAGAACTGAACTAGAACTGAACTAGAACTGAACTAGAACTGAACTAGAACTGAACTAGAACTGAACTAGAACTGAACTAGAACTGAACTAGAACTGAACTAGAACTGAACTAGAACTGAACTAGAACTGAACTAGAACTGAACTAGAACTGAACTAGAACTGAACTAGAACTGAACTAGAACTGAACTAGAACTGAACTAGAACTGAACTAGAACTGAACTAGAACTGAACTAGAACTGAACTAGAACTGAACTAGAACTGAACTAGAACTGAACTAAAATTGAACTAGAACTGAACTAGAACTGAACTAAAATTGAAGTAGAACTGAACTAGAACTGAACTAGAACTGAATTAGAACTGAACTAGAACTGAACTAGAACTGAACTAGAACTGAACTAAAACTGAACTAGAACTGAACTAGAACTGAACTAGAGCTGAATTAGAAATGAACTAAAACTGAATTATTACTGAACTAGAACTGAACTGTAATTTATCTTGAACTAAGGAGTTTTTAGGAATGATTTAAGTAAATATTTCGGCTAATGATTTTAGAGTGTTTAAAACCTTTATGTTGGTTTAGTTTCCGTTTTCCTTAGAATAGGGTACTTGAAAGAAATTTGCAGACGACATCAAACAGAAACAGTGAACATCAGCAACAGCTACAAACAACTAATGATGACAACTTTAATTTAAAATGTAAAACAACATTATAAAAGGATAACGAGGTTTATATACATTTCTACCAAAGCAAAATAAAGGTATAAGAAAGGAATTAAAAAAAATACAGGAAAAAGAGAAAAATATTGAAAAATATATATAGAGACTAACCCTATAGATACAAATTTTATCTGTATTTTTATACTTTAAAACCTTACTAAAAAGGTGGGGTTTCTGTGAAATTTTAGATTTTTGTGTGCAAAAATATCTGTTATCCTTTTTTTTTGGCAACAAATCTAATTATTACTTCCGTATCCTTTTTCCGAAACTTACAGCCTTTTCGCAGTTAATTTAGTTTATGTAGCTGTATTTAATTTAACATAAATATATCTACATTTTGCTGTTTAAAAAAAATTTTCCATTTATTTCCGCCCCCGGTCCTTTTAATAATTATTATAAGCCACCCATTTTTGTTTGTGTTTCAAATTTTCCTTATTTATGTTCAATATATTATTGTGTTTAGTAAAATGTTATTGTAGTGACAGCGGGGTTTGGATTGAATATATTATTATTATTTAGTTTAGTCATACTTTTCACATATCAAACTCAATTCATTTTCAATTAAAATGTTACAAATTTATTACAATTATGCATGTTTGTCTTTATGTATATTTATTTGTTTGCTTATCGAGTGTGTATTTAATTTTGTTTATATTTGCCCCTGATGATTATTGTTTGTACTGTGTCAATACCAGTATAAATGTATCTGTATCTCATCATCATCAATATGTATTCTAAATATATTGAGTACAAAAAGTAGAGAAGTAAAAACAAAAAAACACAACAACACAAAAGTGACTGACAATCATCAGCATTCTCATCATAGAGAATTGTGTTAATAATTGAAAAGGTGGATGGCAAACTGAGAACTTAGGGAGTGGGGTAATGGGATAATATGGAGGAATGATATATGTCATAAAGACCAAGTTTTAATGGAAAAATAGAAGTATGTAAAAGCTTGAAAATTAAAACAAACATTTTACTATAATTGAAGTAAACTAGACCTGAAAAGGAACTGAATTAGAACAGAACTAGAATAGACCTAGAACAGAACTAGAACAGAACTTGAACAGAACTAGAACAGAACTAGAACAGAACTAGAACAGAACTAGAACAGAACTAGAACAGAACTAGAACAGAACTAGAACAGAACTAGAACAGAACTAGAACAGAACTAGAACAGAACTAGAACAGAACTAGAACAGAACTAGAACAGAACTAGAACAGAACTAGAACAGAACTAGAACAGAACTAGAACAGAACTAGAACAGAACTAGAACAGAACTAGAACAGAACTAGAACAGAACTAGAACAGAACTAGAACAGAACTAGAACAGAACTAGAACAGAACTAGAACAGAACTAGAACAGAACTAGAACAGAACTAGAACAGAACTAGAATAGAATTAGAACAGAACAGAGCTAGAACAGAACTAGAACTAGAACAGAACTAGAACAGAACAGAACTTGAACTGAGCTAGAACTGAGCTAGAACTGAGCTAGAACTGAGCTAGAACTGAACTAGAACTGAGCTAGAACTGAACTAAACTAGAACTGAACTAGAACTGAACTAGAACTGAACTAGAACTGAACTAGAACTGAACTAGAACTGAACTAGAACTGAACTAGAACTGAACTAGAACTGAACTAGAACTGAACTAGAACTGAACTAGAACTGAACTAGAACTGAACTGAACTGAACTAGAACTGAACTAAACTAGAACTGAACTAGAACTTAACAGAACAAGAACAGAACTAGAACAGAACTAGAACAGAACTAGAACAGAACTAGAACAGAACTAGAGCAGAACTAGAACAGAACTAGAACAGAACTAGAACAGAACTAGAACAGAACTAGAACAGAACTAGAACTGAGCTAGAACTGAACTAGGACTGAAGTAAAACAAAAATCAAATAATAATTTCAGAATCTGTGTATAGCTTTAATTCCTAAGTATTTAAATTCTTATCAATTCACTTTTAATCTTCGTTTTCGTTGAGAAAAAAAAAAAATTTTCCAAATGATTACAAGTTCTTTTTAC